TAACAGAACTCTCCATCTTAGAAATGGGAAAAATTTCCTTATCAAGTCTCTACTTGACAAGCAGTCTTCTCTCCTGAAGGCCAGGTAGCACACTGTTGAAGGACTTTACTGCACTGGCTAAGCCAGGAGAGGGAGGAAGAGACGAGGATTAGCGTGTTTGATTTTTTTGAGACAGGAACTGGTTCTGCCGCCCAAGTTTGAGTGCAGTGGTGTAATCTCAGCTCACTGCAACCTCCAACTCCTGGGTTCAAGCTAAATTCTCGTGCCTCAGCCTCCCGAGTAGCTGGGACTCCAGGTGCAAGCCACCATGCCCAGCTAATTTTTCTATTTTTAGTAGAGATGGGGTTTTGCCATGTTGGCCAGGCTGGTCTCAAACTCCTAACCTCAGGTGATCCACCCACCTCAGCCTCCCACAGTGCTGGGATTATAGGCGTGAGCCACTGTGCCTGGCCTTCAATGGAACTTTCCAAGGAATCATTCAAAAATGGTTGTTGGGGCTGGGTGAGGTGGCTCACGCCTGTAATCCCAGCACTTTGGGAGGCTGAGGTAGGAGGATTACTTGAGTCCAGGAATTCAAACCAGCTTAGGCAACAGAACAAGACCCTCTTTGTACGAAAAATAAAATTAGCTGGGCAAAGTGGCACATGCCTGTGGGTCCCAGCTACTCAGGAGGTTGAGGTGGGAGGGTTGCTTGAGCCCAGGAGGTCGAGGCTGCACCAAGCAGTGATTGCACAACAGTACTTCAGTCTGGGCGACAGAGCGAAACCCTGTCTCAAAGACAAAACGAAACAAAACAAACCCAAGACAAGCAAAACAAACATAGCTTTGAACTGTCTTCTTTCTCCTCGAGTGGCAAGGACACTGAGTTCCTTCCACTCATGGGGGAGTCACGCCTGGACTTCTCATGCACTGTCAGAACACCTCAAGGCGCCATCTTTACTTCACTCCCTTGAAGAGCAACAATCTCTCCCCATCTAAAGGGCCCCTGAGCTGTGTGGCACAACAGGAATGGCATATTAGGAAAGAAACAAAAAACCCACGACAGAAATATAAGGTTTGAACTCTTGAGCAAAAGCTTTCTCATTTTGATGCCCCTCTGAGACAGACTGGAAGGGATAGTGTGTGGGAAACACCCCGCACTGACCTTGCTCCTGCTTGGTACCACACCCAGGGAAGGGGTAACTGCTCTGCAGACCTGAAGGTGAGCGCAAAGGTTGCTTGCTGGGCAGGAGCTGCCTGGCACGGCTTCCACAGTAACCGTAATTTATTCACATGCACATGTATGCAGGTTTTTCTTCTAAATATCATTATTGTCTAGGCTTTTGGAGAAACCTATGTTGTGAAAATGATCACAGTCATGCTCCTAAAAGCCAGTCGTGTTTCTGTAACAGTTTTCTGCATGGGCCTTCACGTTCAGAAATGCAAAGGTGGCCTGAGAGCTAGGGACTCACTAACTTGTAGGAATGTGGTTTTGGTTCCTCTAATGTGGCTGATATAGAAGAGAGGGAAGTCACACTCACTGAAAAGAAACGCTGTCATCAGGATTAGGATAACGCTCTGCTTGGCAGGTAAATAAAACCAGCAGCACAGCCCCAGTAGCTGCCTCACCTCACTTCTGTGACTTCCAGGTAGTCGATGAGGAAAAAATGTAGTTTGTTTTCCTTTTTTTTTTTTTTTTTTGAGACAGAGTCTCGCTCTGTCACCCAGGCTGGAGTGCAATGGTGCAATCTTGGCTCTTTGCAACCTCTGGCTCCCAGGTTCAAGCGATTCTCCTGTCTCAGCCTCCCGAGTAGCTGGGATTACAGGCACCTGCCACCATGCCTAACTTTTTATTATTAATAGAGACAGGGTTTCACCATGTTGGTCAGGCTGGTCTTGAACTCCTGACCTCATGATCCACCCGCCTTGGCCTCCCAAGTGCTGGGATTACAGGTGTGAGAAACCACCCCCAGGCCATGATTTTCAATGATTGTAGAATACTCCTTTTCTTTTTTTCGAGACGGAGTCTCACTCTGTCGCCAGGCTGGAGTGCAGTGGCACAATCTTGCCTCACTGCAATCTCTGCCTCCTGGGTTCAAGTGATTCTCCTGCCTCAGCCTCCCGAGTAGCTGGGATTATAGGCATACCCCACCACACCTGGCTAATTTTTGTATTTTTAGTAGAGACAGGGTTTCACCATGTTGGCCAGGATGGTCTCGAACTCCTGACCTCACGATCCACCCACCTCGGCTTCCCAAAGTGCTGGGATTACAGGTGTGAGCCACCACGCCGGCCAGAATATCCCTTTTCAAAACTCATCATATGCAGAATAAAAATGTCACATTCTGAGAATGGAGAATCTATAAAAAGAGCCTGGAACCTTAGTAATGTCATAATGAGTATTCACATTTTAACCTTGGTAAAGGAATACTACCCATGATGCCATTAACATCAAGCCAAGATCAATTAGTAACATAGCCTTATAAATATTACCCACTTGGATAACTTTCTGTGAACACTAGTCTCTGAGACACACATTCCTTATTTGATGAAGTAACACCTTAAAATGCAGCCATTACTTATGACACATGGGCACCTCAAGAAAATATGAGCATAAGGAGTGGCCACTGCATCAGGGCATGTGGGAAACTAATTTCTCTTAAAGGAATTTGACTTCTAGCGCTCAATTTGTCCTTGAGAATGCAAAAATGGAACACAATTCAAAATGAGTCCCAGGTACAAAGATAAGGAAGAGGAAGTCCGCTGTGGCCCAACCTCTGCTTGGCAGGGCTCTGCTCCACCTCTGTAGAAATTATGCACAGGAACCTGCTATAATGAGTTTCTGGGGTAGGAATCTTAGGGAAGCCAGTTTCATAGTCGTGAATTTCATAGAACAGCTCAGAAACATCTACCCAGAGGAAGAAGTAATTTATGGCAAAACATCCTTGGCTTTCTCTGCTCTGCAGAAGGGACAGTGACAAACAAAGACAGCAAAGAGGGAGAGAAGTCTGTGGGAAGATCTCCTCAAAGAGGATTGTGTGTGCAGAGAGACATCCCATTTCTCTTGTCCCGGTTGGCTTTGTGATGCTTTAATGGGATATAAAAAACCAGCCTGCACCAGACAGAAAAGCTGGGAAAGTCCTCACTGATGTCTGTGGCTGGGCACACTGGGCTGTGCTAGAGGACTCCACTCTGGAAGGCACTGGACAGAGAGGGGAAGGGGACTTGGTTGCTAAAAATCAAGTTGCGAGGTTCCCGCAAGGTGAGCCTTAGGTGGCCCTCCCTTCTTGCTGCTGCCTTGCCAGCTTCACCTCTTCTCCTGGGACCTCTGCCTGCACTGTGTCCAGGGCTCAGTCCTGGTTTCTCCTCTGTCTCACAGCTTTGAACAGGAGCCTTCCACCCGCTGAGGGCTAGGTGTCTCTCCCAAACCTGACCTCTCCCAACCCCTCACGTGTTTATCCACCTGCCCACTGGATGTCACCAGTCAGTGTCTAAAGACACTTCAAACTCAGCACGTCCCAGCTTGCTCTCCTCATCTACTTCCCCTCCTGTCCTCAAACATCTCTCCAGCCAGCTTCCGCATCTCAACTAACAGCAATTCCGGTCTTTCTGCTGTTCAGACAAAAAATCATGAAGTTGTCCTTGGCTCTACCCACCCCATATCCAACTCTAGGGCAAATGCAGTTGCCTGTTATTTCGAAACATATCCAAAACCCAACCACCATCTGTGCCAGGCCCATCCTCAGCCAAGGCTGCACTACCTCTTGCCTGTATTACTGCTGAGAGCCTCCAACTGGCTTTTCTGGATTCTCCTTGCCCTATTTCAGTGAGTTCCAAACATAGCTGCCCAGGTGATCCTCTGAAAGTCCAAGGCCACACAGCTCTTGTTGTCCCTCAGCAGCTCTCATGTAGGAGAAGCACTTCCACACTCTGCTCCAGGCACATTGTACCCTCAGGCCTCAGGCCCAAGCAGTGCTCTTTCCCAGAAATCTGTGTGAACACGCCCACCCAGGCCTCTGCCCAGGCAGCACTGTTCACACCCAGACTGCTGATGAACTCTGCCCGCTCTGCGCTTTCTCACGCGTGCTCTATACTAGGTAACTTACTCATCCACAGCCTGGAATGGCAGCCTCAAGGAGACAGTGTTGCTCACTGAGCATCTCAAACAATCAGAACAATGCCTTGTCCATGCTAGAGATAGACAACAGTATTTGTGGTTGATTGAGCGACTCTCCAGACTTTCCTTTTTCTTATTCTTCTTTTTTTTTTATAGACAGGGTCTCATTCTTCGGGCCAGAGTGCTGTGGCCAAATCACAGCTAACTGCAGCTTTGACCTCCTGGGCCCAATCCTCCCACCTCAGCATCTGGAATTGCTGGGACCACAAGCACGCCACCACGCTTGGCTGATGTTTTTATTTTTTGACGACATGGGGTCTTACCATGCCCAGGCTGGTCTTGAACTACTTGGCTCAAGCGATCCTCCCACCTCAGGCTCCTAAACTGCTGGGCTCACAGGTGTGAACTACTGTGCCCGGCTTCCAGACCTTCAGACTCTGACCAACGACAAACCCAGACCCCAAAAGGGCACACCAACCAGTGTGACAACGTCCCTGTGAGAATAAGGCAACTCACTGAGTGATGAGCTCATTACCCCTAAACAACCACATAGGTAGGTGTTGGACAAAGCTGCAGGTCTGATTCATGTACTGAATCACAAGAAAGGGGAAAGGAAATTTACATACTTCACGGAAAACCAACCTAGAACCGTCAAGACCTGGTGTTTCTCCACAGGGCTGTGCCACAACTCCCAGGGTTAAGATGCAGCTGCTCTGGATCCCCTTTCTTCTTGGGTCCCCCTGAGGGCCGTCTTCTCCCTTGATTGCCTTGGGAGAAAAAATATGCTGGTAATCACAAAATGTTGGGATCCCTGCTAAGGGCCATGAGGCTCCAAGCCTTCATACACATTCCTTTTGCTCAACTTGAGGGTGTGTTAAATACAGTATTAGGAGACAATGCAAGATTTTACTGAGAAAAAGTGAATTTTTAATTATCTTGTGAATCTACTTAGAAAAACACACACAAGCAATGTTCACAACTATAAATCTTTTGCACTAAAAAAAAAACACACACGAAACAACAAACACAAAACCACAGGCATGAACTGTAAACCTGTATTAACTATGAACTAATCTTAAGGTTAATTCTTAGCAGTAATTCAGCATTTTCCTCCTTGGCAATTTTAATGTTGTAGCACCAGATGATCTCCCGCAGAGGTACTAGTAATGACTGGCTGCCAGTGTAGGGAGATGCTTCCATATAGACCACTTCACACACACACAGTCCACTCTCACACCCACCCAGACGGGAGGCACATGGAGATGGGGCCACACGCTGACTCTTAGGGCAATGGAAGGAGGACAGGGGGCGCAAAGGTTGCACATCTTTAATGTAGTGCATTTGTAGAAAAAAGGCCAGCTTTTGCTCCCAGGCGTGCTCTCGTCCTCAGACTTTAATATCATGATTTAGAAGATGCAGACATTATTGCCTAAATATTATTCTATACATTTCCATCAGTGTTCAGGAAAACACTTTAATTGCTACTTAATTTACATCATAATTACTGGGTTACAGCTTTAGCTCATTGGCAATTTTGGAAGCAATATTTTTGAAGGCTATGGATGTCCCCGATATCCGCTTAAACCGGACCCCGTTCAGAGACAGTCTTGGCAGCTTGCATACTTCCATTTCCCACTGCACGAGGCTCTCTGCGTGCCCATCGCCGTGGACACAGAAGAGCAAGAAGCGCTCCCTCTGCTCATAGTCGCAGTTATTGGCGTCTAACACTTTGCGGATTTCCCGCATCATGTCCCCGGGATCCATTGAACTAGTGGTTTTCATGCTCCAGGTGAAGCGTAGGGATCGAGGTTTTGCTTCTTTATTTTCATCCTTTTGCTCAGTAGATACATTGCGACTGAAATGCACAGAGCAGGTTTATTTTTAATTGCACAGGAAAATCAGCCGCTTGTACTTTAGCTAGTTCCTAATTCACATCTTCCATGCAACACAATGACTGACCTCCTCATTTTCCTGCGCAGACTCACATTTGTAACCTCAGTCTATTTTCATCTATTTTCTTCCCAGATCCCCTAAAACTCATAAGTCACATACATCAAGATCTACCAGGGTGGAAAATCTTCACCAGCCTCCTGTGCTTACTAAAATGAAGAAACGTAGCTGGCTAAGCGGAATCCTTAGAAATGAGGCAAAGTGGACAGCGTGCCCCACTCCTCCAAGTCTGGGCTCTGCAGGCCCAGCTCAGGGAGGGAGTCGGCAGCCAGCTCCTGGCCACCCCACCCATCCACCCTGGGCTGTCCCTCTCCTGCGACACTGTTCTTTCAGATGTGAATCACTAACTGGCACTCAGGATAACTGGAGACTCAACACCCGCAGTCTAAAATTGCTCTCCCTATGAACGGCCCTGAGGCTGAACATGATGCTCTACCCACCTCATTGTTTTTCCTCCTCTGTTTTGTTAAACGTCCAATTATACAGTTAAAGCAAAAATCTTAGATGACACAATCTTACTACTGGCATAGATGGAAAAATGCAATGTGGCAGCCTGTCTGTCTGTGGAGGACTGACACCACTCGTGTGGATGCCCTGTGGATTCATAAAGTAAGCCTTGGTCTGGATGCCTGAGATGCAGCACGGTGGGGCCCACGCATGGGTCTCTAGGGAACACCACGGTTTACCGGCCATTCCTTGGCATTAGTCATTATTGCCACAAGCCGTTATTTACATTCTCATGTGTGTATCTATCTGGTGGCCTCAATTAAGACAGTGAGTGCCTAGCATTCTTGGGAGTAAAACAGTCTATGCACCTCGAGTATACTCCAACCCATGGCCAACTAATCAGAGGTGAGGGGCTACAATTTTTACCTATGCACATAGCTCTCCATGCCACCAACCTGCTAGTAGAATATTTAATTTGGTTCACATCCACTAAAATTGATGAGAAGCGTCCTATGTATAAAATGCCACGTTAGATACTAAATGGGTTACAAAGAAAAGCAAAAGCTCTCAAACCCATTTGGAGCCAGCAGACTGTAAGGTAAGGCCACAGTGGCAGCACAGGAAAGATGTGGCCGTCCAGAGGACTGCAGGAGAGTTGGAGCCTGCCTAGTGGGAGGAGTGTATGACAGGCGAAATGAGACCAGTAGGAAATGGCACAGTTGGTGGGGGGCGGGCCTGAATCTGAGGAGAGCTATGAAGAGCCATGGAGTTCAACAAAATGCAATGAAGATAAGGAAAAGAGTTTTTGTTTTGAGTAGAGGCCAAAGGGGAGGCAGGAAAGTGCAGGATGTGTCTGTGGCATAATACAGTACACAGACTGAGTGGAACTGGAGGCACAGCGTCATCATCACAACAGCTGCTGGCATTTACTGAGCACTTGTGGCGGTCAGGCTTCAACTTACTTAATGCCCATGTAGGCCATATTACCACACCTTTCTATTACGGGTGGGGAAACAAACCAGGATCTAGAGCCTGCTCCAGGCTGGGATGGGCAGGCCTGGAGGGGGAATGCTGCCTGGTACTCAGCCCAGTGCTCTGCCTTGATAGGGCAGCAGAGCTGGGGCTGCTGGGGCAGCCTGGACCACACCACTCAGGGCCTCGCAGGGACATGGCTGGGTGAAATAGTGGAAGTCACTGAAGGTTTTCATTTAGAAAGGTCATATGACCAGAAGCAGGCTTTTAGAAAGACTAAGAGGGCAAATGGTGAACAAGAACCTGAAAGAAGGCCGGGCGCGGTGGCTCAAGCCTGTAATCCCAGCACTTTGGGAGGCCGAGGCAGGTGGATCACGAGGTCAAGAGATCGAGACCATCCTGGTCAACACGGTGAAACCCTGTCTCTACTAAAAATACAAAAAATTAGCTGGGCATGGTGGCGTGTGCCTGTAATCCCAGCTACTCAGGAGGCTGAGGCAGGAGAATTGTCTGAACCCAGGAGGCGGAGGTTGCGGTGAGCCGAGATCGTGCCATTGCACTCCAGCCTGGGTAACAAGAGCGAAACTCTGTCTCAAAAAAAAAAAAAAAAAAAAAAAAAAGAAAGAACCTGAAAGAGCCTGCTGGTGACTGGCATAAAAAAGGGCACAAGCGGAAGAGACATAGAGCTAGGGACCCAGAGTCCTAAGGCTGCCTGGTGACCTCCCACCCGAATTCACGCAATGATAACTACACAAAATGGAAAAGCAAGGCCAGGTGCGGTGGCTCATGTGTGTCATTCCAGCACTTTGGGAGGCTGAGGTGGGAGGTTCACTCGAGCCCAGGAGTTTGAGACCAGCCTAGCCAACATGGCAAAACCCCCATCTCTACAAAAAATACAAAAATTAGCCAGCATGGTAGCAGCGCCTGTGGTTCCAGACACTCAGGAGGCTGAGGTGGGAGGATTGCATAAGCCCAGGAGCTGGAGTAAGCCATGACTGAGAAACTATACTCCAGCCTGGATGACAGGGTGAGACCCTGTCTCAGAAAAAAAAAAAAAAAAAGCAAAACACTCAACTTTATAATCACCATTCTTAGAAGAAAACATATCTAGTTTGAAATATGAATATTCTACTAAGTACTTTGCTTTTATTCCTTGTGAATAGAACCATGTGACGAATCAGTAATGAGCTGGGGGCTTATTTCTCTGAGCAGTGCTACCCAACTCAGACCTCCAAAGGCTGTTAATGCCCAGGCAGGAAGGCTGAAGGTGCCAGCATGCTTTTTTTTTTTGACGGTGTCTTGCTCTGTTGACAGGCTGGAGTGCAGTGGTGCGATCTCGGCTCACTTCAACTTCCGACTCCCTGGTTCAAGCGATTCTCCTGCCTCAGCCTCCACAATGGCTGGGATTACAGGCGAGCGCCACCACGTCCAGCTAATTTTTGTATTTTTAGTACAGACAGGATTTCACCATGTTGGCCAGGATGGTCTCGATCTCCTGACCTCGTGATCCACCCACCTCAGCCTCCCAAAGAGCTGGGATTACAGGCGTGAACCACCATGGCCGGCTGCCGCCATGCTTTTAACACAAACACAAATGTAGGGCAGAGGCCAAGCTGGACCTGGATGGCACGCATGGCACGCTGGTGCCCCCATGTGGCCACCCTCTCTACCTGATGCCGACCTCCCTAACTCCTACGGTGACAGCAGGAATACAGTAGGGAATATTAGGAAAATAGTGTGGTCTCTGCCACAGAAATGAGGTAAACACCTGGAAAAAATTTTAAGTAAAAATCATTTCCCTCACCTTGAGCCCTCATATCTCCCGTTCCTCTCATATTCAGTTGGAAGCCTCAATGAACAGAATGTAGAAGCAGAGAGAAGAGGGAAAGAGAAAAGAAATCTTACATGCTAGTACATGACCACCAATACCAACACCAACACAATAAAATGAACAAAGCCAAAGCACATTTCAGTCACCAGCTGGGCTTATGAAAACTCTTCCTCTCATTTGATTGAGCTAGTGCTTCTTTCTTCCACAAGGCTGCACGGCAGTGCACAGGGGCCAGCTCCGTGCTGCACACTGCACACACTGCATGCCACACTGCTGCACACACCGCGCGCCACACCACGCGCCACACCACTGCATACATGGCACGTCACACTGACCCACACACCACACCACCGCACACACCGCATGCCATATCGCTGCACTGTATGCACTGTACACGCTGCATGCCACACTGCCACACAGTGCATACACTGCACAACACACAGCCACACACTGCACGCCACACCGCTGCACACACCACCTGCCACACCGCTGTGGACACTGCATGCCACACCGCACGTACCGCTACACACTGTATGCACTGCACACTGCATGCCACATCGCCACACACTGCACACACCACACGCCATACCACCACAAACCGTACGTCACACTGCACACACCGCACACGCCACATATCACACACCAAACACACTGCAAGCCACACTACCACACACACTGCACGCCATACTGCTGCACACTACAAATCACGCTGCGGCACAGCGCACATACCACACCGCCACACACCACAAACACTGCAAGCCATACCACCGCACACATGGCACACCACACCACACCGCACGCGCCACATGCCACACCGCATGCGCTGCACACCAGACCGCTGCACACGCCACACTGCTGCATACAGCACACACCACACATTGCACGCCACACTGCCACACACCACACACACCGCCACACACCACATACACCAACACACACACTACATGCCAACCACTGCACACTGCACATACTGCATGCCACACCACACATTGCATGCCATACTGCTGCACACTGCATGCCACACTGCACACACCACACCACGCACACACTGCACACCACACTGCCGCACATTGCACACACCACATATCACACTGCTGCACACCGCACACACCATGCCGCACCCTGCACACATCGCCGAACACTGCACACACTGTACGCCACACCGCTGCACATCACACAGACGCCACACCACCGCACACTGCACACACCACACACACTGCACACAACGCACACCACACCGTTGCACACTGCACACCATGCATGCACAGCAGGCACTCTGGTGGCTCTTCACCCTGAGCACACTCGGCCTCAGAATGGTGTTATTCTCACTTTCTAACTGCTCCCCACAGTATAATAGGCTTCCAATTAAAAGCCAATGAGTCTATTAGAATGGACTTTACATGCAGTTATTACCTGTTCTGTCCAAGGAAAAATCAGACAAATGGGAAGATCAATTAAAAAATAATAACAGGATGGAACTGCCAACATTGCTTGTCCCACAGTTTTGACCTGCAGCGTGGCCTTCTGGGGACTGGAGAGGCAGAGGTACAACATCACCCTCCATGAAAGACTTCCTGCCTCGTGCGCATTAAGAAAGCAACAGTTTTGGTCTCTTGATAGTCACCATCAAAAAATATTTTTTTCTTTTTTGAGGCAGGGTCTCACTCCCCTAGGCTGGAGCACAGTGGCATGATCATGGCGCACTGCAGCCTTGACCTGCCAGGGCTCAGGTGATCCTCCTGCCTCAGCCTCCCCAGTAGCTGGGACCACAGATGCACGCCATCACGCCCAGCTATTTTTGTATTATTTGTAGAGGCGGGGTTTTGCCATGTTGTCCAGGCTGGTCTCAAACTCCTGGGTTCAAGTGATCCGCCCGCTTACGCCTCCCAAAGTGCTGGGATTACAGGCATGAGCCACCACGCCTGGCCTAAAAATTATCAATAAAATCAGAACACCACTTATTGCAGCACTTTAAGTAAAAATAATGACATACTCTTTCTTAGTGGTTGCTGGAAAGTGGCTTTCAATTCTGAAAATATTAAAATATTTCTGCTATGCAGCTGTTCACATTTCTGAAAAAGTCACATCAAATAAGGCTGTAGCTTTGAATTTTACGACTGTTTTCTGTATTAGCTAATTTTCCTGTCATTTTAAAGCCTTTTGCTAATTTAATCCTGAGTGAAACAAAGATAACACAGTTACCACTTACCTTTTGTATGCCTGGGGATAATCATTAATTGTACATTAACGTTACTGAGCATCTCATTCTTCAAACAGGAGCATGCTAAGTGTTATTAGTATGAAGACAGAATTATTTGGATGCTAAATAATTCTACCAAAGAAAGAAAATACACAGAGCATGCATAGGCCTTTTGTTGCATGGGTGCTATAGTCCCTTTAAAATGCCTGACAGAGTTAATCTATTTCTTTCCAGTTTCCTTTCAAGGAATTAAGTATTTAGTTCTCAGCAGAAAGTTTAGTTTATAAAGAAAACACGAGGCCAGAAAGCCAAACCTGATGTTAATTGCAGGAGCCATTTGGGAGTGAGGATTGAAAAATAAATGTGTATATATAAATCCTACCTTTTGATAAACCTGAATGACATGTTTCTAAAAGAAATAAATTAAAAAAAAAAAAAAAAATTAACAAAAACAACTTGCACAAATCAAACAGAAAATCTAATCAATTACAGAGAGAAAACAAAAAACAAAGCAGGGTTCCTCCTCTGGCCAATCAACAAAGAAATGCTGACATTTGTTGAAAAATTAAAATTATTACAGGTAATTAAATGAGTATGTGATCTTTTAATTAGAAATATCAAAAAAGTAAGAAAAAGTTTAGCAGTAAATATTGACAGCAGCTGTAATTGAAGTTCTTCAGATGGGCACACTTTTTTTTTTTTTTTTTTTTCAAAAGACAGAGTCTCACTCTGTTGCCCAGGCTGGAGTGCAGTGGTGTAATCTTGGCTCACTGCAACCTTCACCTCTTGGGTTCAAACAATTCTCATTCCTCAGCCTCCTGAGTAGCTGGGATTACATGCATGTGCCACCACACCCAGCAAGTTTTTTTATTTTTAGTAGAGATGGGGTTTCACCATGTTGGCCAGGATCGTCTCGATCTCCTGACCTTGTGATCTGACCGCCTCGGCCTCCCGAAGTGCTGGGATTACAGGCGTGAGCCACCAAGCCTGGCCATTTAAATTAAAAAATGGTCAGGCACGGTGGCTCATGCCTGTAATCCCAGCACTTCGGGAGGCCGAGGTGGGCTGATCATTTGAGGTCAGGAGTTTGTGATCAGCCTGGCCAACATAGTGATACCTGTCTCTACTAAAAATATAAAAATTAGCTGGGTGTGGTGGCACAGCTACTTGGAAGGCTCTCAGCTACTTGGGAGGCTGAGGCAGGAGAATTGCTTGAAGCTGGGAGGTGGACATTACAGTAAGCCAAGATAGTGCCACGTTGCACTCCAGCCTGGGCGACAGAGCGAGACTCTGTCTCAAAGAAAAAAAAAGTATATAGAGATGGGGTCTCATTATGTTGCCCAGTTTGGTCTAGAACTCCTGGGTTCAAGTGATCTTCCTGCCTTGGCCTCCCAAAGTGCTGGGATTATAGGCGTGAGCCATGGTGCCTGTCCATTTCCTCATCTTCCACCTGGGAAAAATCAGGGTTACTGGTCAATTACTATAGGAGTCTTTTCTTATCTTTTCCTCCTACAATCCCTTGAGGTACAAAGAGGCAGGAGAAAGCTGCAGGTGGAGGCCTCGTACTCTGCTCATGGCAACAAGGATTAACCTGAGGGCAGAGGCATTTGCATGTGTGCCTGGCTGTTCTGCCTGCAGGGTATGGGTGACTCTGAAGCCTCTTAGCAAGGCCAGGCCTGATCCCAAGGGGAGAGAGTTTTGCTCCTGACTACAAAGGGCCCATAGCTCTCCAAAGCCATGTCCCCTCCAAGCAGAGTGTAGGCTTCCTGACTCCAGCCCTCTTCACACCTGGCCACACTGGGTCTCCCTTGCAGCATCTAAGTACAAACACTTCAGCCTTTCTGGAACTGCAATTTTAATCCTAGCAATAATTGCTAAAGGAGAATAAGAAGTTTCAACCACTCTAGCAAGGATTTTGATTGTTTTTAAGAACAAAATGTCAATAGCTGATTAGGTACAACACTAAGGGAGATAACAGACCTCAGTTAATAAAGTTTAACAAGATATGATAAAAGACTACCTTTCTGCAAAAATTTGGGGGCGGAAACAGCCTTGAAACTGTAAATAAGATGACCACCTAGATTTTTTTTTAAACAAGAAGCCTGAGTTTCCAATTTTAATTCAAATATATGAAATAAATATAGTCCAACTGTCATGACTGCAACTGTCTTTTCAAAGGGAAGCACAGTGTAGTGGCCAAAAGGATGCCTGATACTTTTTTTTTAAAGGGTTTCTCCATGTTGATCAGGCTGGTCTTGAACTCCTGACCTCAGGTAATCCACCCGCCTCAGCCTCCCAAAGTGCTGGGATTATAGGCGTGAGCCACTGTACCCAGCCGATACATTTTTTTACTTTTTTTTTTTTTTTTTTGACAGAGTGTCACTCTGTTGCCCAGGCTGGAGTGCAATAGTGTGATCTTGGCTCTCTGCAACCTACACCTCCTCGGTTCAAGCCATCCTCTTGCCTCACCCTCTCAAGTAGTTGGAATTACAGGTGTGTGCCACCACACCAGGCTAATTTTTGTATGTTTAGTAGAAATGGGGTTTCACCATGTTGGCCGGGCTGGTCTTGAACACTTGACCTCGAGTGATCTACCTCCTTTGACCACTCAAAGTGCTGGGGTTACAGGCATTGAGACACTGTACCAGGCCCTGATGTTTTTAAAAATATGTGCCTTAATGTCTCTGAACTTCACCTTCAGTTTCTTTTATAAAATGGGGTGGATTATGAAGATAAGTGTGTGTGTGCACGTGTGTGTGCACGTGTATAATAATATACTCATTTCATACATATAAATGTTTGTATATATGATATAGTCATTTTATACATAAAATATGCCCACGTATGATGTATACGCATATTTATATATATAAAATGAATATGTCTGTATCTCTATATATAGACAGCTACCTTAGCACATAATAAGCTAAGCAGCTTTGGCTGGGTACGGTGGCTCAAGCCACCGGCTGTAGGAGGCTGAGGCAGGTGGATCACTTGAGGTCAGGAGTTCAAGACCAGCCTGGCCAACATAACAAAACCGCATTTCTACTAAAAATACAAAAATCAGCCAGGCATGATGGTGGTTGCCTGTAGTCCCAGCCACTTGGGAGGCTGAGGCGCAAGAATAACTTAAACCTGGGAGGCGGAGGTTTCAGTGAGCTGAGATTGCGCCACTGCACTCCAGCCTGGACGATAAAGTGAACCCCAAACTCAAAAAAAAAAAAAAAAAAAAAAAAAAAAAAAAAAAAAAAGAGGTAGTTCATATTTTTATCAATGACACTCGTTTTCTTTTTTTTCATTATATACATATAATAAAATCAATGCTAGTCTTAAAATGACTAAAAAAAAGAGTATAAAGAAGACAAACTCAAAGATTTTAATGATGTGCAAGAGGTTATTTAAAGAGACAAGTACAGAACAAAGTGGATGAACACAAAGCTGCCCTTTCTGAACTTAGCCAAGCCTCAGGGCTGCACATTCCCCCTGTGCTTGGGGCTCAGAGGGGAAAACACCTGTTGATATTAGGCAGGAACAGGAAGGTGAGCAGCCATGTGAACAGTGTCTGGCTCCATCTACTATCACCCGAGTTTCAGAGGTAGATTTCATTTTGGCCCAATCCCTGAAGAAGGAGCTAGGGGCAGAGAGGCCTGAGACAGGCCATGGGATAACCCTGAAAGGAAGAAATGATTTTTTTTTTTTTGGGACAGGGTCTCTCTCTGTTGCCCAGGCTGGAGTGCAGTGGCACAATCTCAGCTCACTGCAACCTCTGCGCTCTGGGTTCAAGCAATTCTCTAGCCTCCCAAGTAGCTGGGATTACAGGCATGTGTCAACAAACGGCTGACTTCTGTATTTTTAGTAGAGACAGGGTTACACCATGCTACCCAGGCTGGTCTCGAACTCCTGACCGCAAGTGATCCACCGGCCTCTGTCTCCCAAAGTGTTGAGATTTATAGGCATGAGCCACTGTGTCCGGCCAGGAAGGAATGATTTATTCTTAGAGTCACCAGACTCTTCTCAGGTTGAACTCACTGTCTCTCTTGCTGGCTGGTCATGGGGTGCCCCAAACCTAGCAAAGCTCTTCAGCCCATTCTGTTCTGACAAGTCTGAAATGAGGTGCTTAATAAATGGGCTAAGAAGTGAGTAAGAGGGTAAACAGAACCTGACACATCTGACTTCCAGTTAATGCTAACGGATGTCAGAAATCCTCCCTAAGCTAGGCGGAGGTTGCAGTGAGCCAAGATTGCACCACTGCACTCCAGCCTTGGTGGCAGTGAGACTCCGTCAGAAAGAAAAGGAAAGGAAGGAAAGGAAGGAAGGAAGGAAAGGAAGAAAGGAAGGAAGGAAGGAAGGAGGGAAAAGAAAAGAAAAGAAAGACTCCCTAGTCTATTCCATGTCCTAATAACAAGTACATCAGACTTTAATGTGACTCACCGGTTTCAGATGATTGATCTAATATAAAATTACTAAGAAATTACAGAGGTTGAAAAGTAATATTTAGCTTACAGTTTAGATAATGGAGATGGTGTGAAATGAAGTAATAGGCTACAGGCCATAGGGAATACAGAAAAACAGAGGAGGGAACTGATCATTTCAGACCCAGCAAAGACTGCTACTGCTGTCCTGTAACCTACAGATGACAAATAAGAGGGTCTGTCCCAGGCAAACCTGCAGGATAACTCAGACAGACTGAGCCACAGCTAGGCTTAATTTCAAAAAATTTCCTCTAGGGAGTCCTAAAACTGCAGGGGCTCTTGGGTTTCCTGGGTTCCTTCTTGGAAAGGCACCCTTCACTATTTGTTTATGGTTCAAAGTCGTACACTTTCTTCTTCCTCTTGAAACAGCTAGTATTTCTAGGCTTTTGTAACAGGTACACAAGGTTATAGAAATGAAGTTATCTCAAAGGACACTTAAGAGGTTACTGAGGCCCAGGGCCGGGTGTGGTGGCTCACAGCTGTAATCCCAGCACTTTGGGAGCCCGAGGCGGGTCAACCATGAGGTCAGGAGTTCGAAACCAGCCTGACCAACATGGTGAAACCCCGCCTCTACTAAAAATACAAAAATTAGCCAGTGTGGTGGTGCATGCCTATAATCCCAGCTATTCAGGAGGCTGAGGCAGGAGACTCGCTTGAACCTGGGAGGTGGAGGTTGTGGTGAGCCGAGATTGTGCCATCAAGAGCAAAACTCTGTCTCAAAAAAAGAGTTTACTGAGGTCCAAAATGCTAGCCTACTAGATACATGGAGCATTTTAGAAAATTTCCAGGACCACCAGCCAAGAATCATAGAGCATTTTATACAAAAATAATAATTTTTTATTTTTTGAGAATAAATCAAACATTTTTATCTCCAAATGATACCATTTAAGGATACTAACTTGCTCTCAATATAAATTACTAAGACTGAGAGAGAAATTTTCAACATTTGGACTCTAAGAAATTTATTGCCACTTAACAACAATTAAGTGAGAGAAGAGGAGTTGTTTCTTTCCTCCAGGGCTGGAGATGATTAGGAAAGACATACATGGTCTTTCCGTGGCTGACTGCCACGGAGTGCCAGGCCCCAACCCACACCAGAACTCAAGTTCTGCCTGTTCGACTATGACGAACATGGCATGCAGATAGATATGTGAGCAAAAGGAACAGTAAATAAAGAATAAAAAAAACCTCCTAAATGCTAGTTAACTTTTAGTGTTATGAAGACTCTGAGCTCTGTAATTTCTACTTTAAAGGTTTTAAAGTATAAAGTTAGATGTATATAAAACCAAAAACCCATGAGCTGAAGGCAGACTGAAAAGCATCCAAGCAGTAGTGGCTTCACACAACAAAAAAGGCATTTTTCCTTTTGCTCTACGTGTTCACTCCAAAACCATCAAAACCACCACTTACCTCCTTGTGAGTTTTGAAGTTAATTTACTAAAGAGATTAGTGGAGCCTCGGCTTCGAGTATGGGACAATGGTGTGGCTTCATGGGACAGGCTGGGAGAGGCAGGAGGGCCATTATATGTGGCGGTTCGCCGTTCCCGGGGCTGGCCGTGGAAAGTGCTACGAATGGCGGTGCCTCTTGGGAAGCGGATTCGATCCGGGGTGGCTGCACTGCTAATACTGTGTGTTGAAGCAACTGGAGTTCTCTGATCAGGAACAGTGCTGTGAGACCAGAAAATTAAGAAGGTCTCAGAACATGACATACACAAACTTACAGCCACAATATACCTTTTATACACAGTGGAGAAAATCAGGTATAATAAATCCAGATCCAAGGGATATTTTATAGGACTTAGGAGCAAAAGGTAAGTTAAGTGGGAAGTGGTACCAACAGAACAATACATAATGAGACAAAGCCTCATGGAGTTTAAGGGAGAAGTATTATATATATTTTCAAGGACAAAATTAATGCAGGGAAATTCTAGGACAGAGAACAGCTAACTCACACTTTTCCCCTTTGCTTCCCTCTGAAATTGCTTATACACAGAGAACTGTGCCAATACGAAAGAAATAAAGGATGTGCAGATGTGACTGAAGAACAGGCAACTAAAAAGTTTTGGAAGTACACAAATGGTATATGTATAAAATTCCACATGCTGAAAGCAACTTGGGAGGAGCAGGAACTTCTTACACACTTTGTAATATGCAAAGGCACGAAGACACACACACACACGCAACTGAGAACATCACGAGACAAGATGTGCTAACTAAAATCACATGGAAGAAGGACACCTTGTGGACAACTAACAAAATCTCAGACTATAAGATCCACAGCACAAAATTAAGAAGCAGTGGGTACACATTAGTTTCACAAAGAATGTGCATTTTTCTTACATAGACTTGAAGTTATCTCCTTCACTGTCTATTGGAGGTAACATCATCTTGGGGTGCCCAGAGGCTGACATGGACATCGACTTCTGATGTCTCAGCCGACAGGTAGATGTGGTACAAACTGAGGCAGGGCTAGCTGCGTAAGCGAACATTTCTGTCAGGCTGGGAGGGGTTTGGGTTCAGGCAGAGGCAGAAACACAGTATGAAGGAGCAGTGACCACAGAGCAACCTGTGTGTAATGCACATACTTTCCTCCCAAGAAAAGAGCAGATTATATGTTTGAATATCTGTTTCTATGAGAGGGACAGCATCCTCTGAGGTATGCACAAAATAAAACCTATTCTAAGAGATGCCTCAATTCAAATCTCAGTGGTAAAATGAATATATCAGCATGCTATGCTCTCAACATGTTCCCAAAACACACTAACATATTTTATTATTTACCTTTTTTTTTTTTTTGTAGAGACAGGGTCTCGCTATGGTGCCCAGGCTGGTCTTAAACTTGTGGCTTCAAGTGATCTCCTGCCTTAGCCTTCCAAAGTGTTGGGATTACAGGCGTGAGCCATCACACCCAGCCAACACTGATGTATTTTAAATGAACTAATAAAATTATAGATATAGGAACTAGCTGCTACATAACAGAGTATGCTATGTTGTTTGGTATTTTTTTTTTTCCCCAGACAGGGTTTTGCTGTCACCCAGCTGTAGTGCAGTGGTATGACTGTGGCTCACTGCAGCCTCAACTTCCTGGGCTCAGGCTATTCTCTCATCTCAGTCTCCTAAGTAGCTGGGAATACAGGTGCGCTTCAAAGTGCCTGGTTAATTTTTTGTATTTTTAGTAGAGAGGATTTTGCTATGTTGTCCAGGCTGGTCTTGAACTCTTGAGCTCAAGTAATATGCCTGCCTTGGCCTCCCAAAGTGTTGGGATTACAGGCATGCGCCACCACGTCTGGCCTTCCCATGTTCTTTTAATAATAGAGTCTAAAGTCTTCCTACTCAAAGGACATTTACTCCATGATTAAAACAAAACAAAAAAAGTCAGCAGAGCCCCCTTCTCCAAGATGGGCAAATTCATCAGAGCAAATTAACTGTTTACAGACATGGTAAGACAGAGTGGCTAGAGGTCTGTGCTCACTGGGACACATTATTTGGAATTCCAGCTCAGTCATCATGTCCTTGGAATTCAAGGGCAGTTTCTTTCCTTTAAGGGTAAGTAGGAATACAGCTCTTCCAGAATCTTTCTGCAGAAATGCTTTGGAAGGATTGAAACCTGCCAACTGGCAAGCTCTTCCTTTCCCTTACTCCCCACACCCAGACTAACCACATCTTGTTGGTGTCAACTTCCTAGCAGCCCTTTCAGGTGGCCCACCTGCTCCACTTCCACCACCAGGGCCTCAGTACAGAGCCTCACTCCTAGACTTTACTGGGCCCCCTGCCTTTGCCCCAACACCTCTGATCTATTCAGCTTACAGCTGAGAACTTCCTAACATATAAACCAGACCTTGTCACTCATCCCTCATGCTTCTACAGAACACCAAGTCTTTGGAATAAAGTTCGGTCTCCTCGACTCAGAATACACATCCCCAGGCCCCTGAAGTCTGGCCCCTGCCATCTCTCTAGGTTTTGCCTTCTATCATTCCCTCCAGGAACTCAACTTTCGGCCTTCCTGATTATGTGCAGTCCATTGGTCAAGTACCAGGTCAAAAAATGTTTGCATAAGTTATTCTTTTGGTATGGAGGGCTGGTATCTTTTTATTCACCCTTCAAAACTGAACCAGAGGTCGTCAACTCCATGAAGTCTTATCTGGTCAACTTTCCCACTAAGAGTTAAATCGCTTCCGTTTTCAGCTCATGCATGCCCAGTGTATCCTAGTGACCCTCCCTGCGGGACGTCCCTGAAAACACAGCACAAAATCTTGTCAATGTGCCTCCCATGAGTATAAGCAGAAAGCCTACAGAGCAGGTGTTCAATAAATATTCTCCTAACAGAGAAGGTTAGTTAATCAATAAGCCACTGGAATTCTGACATCCCCAACATGAGGGAGATAGGTCTTTAAAATCAAGAAGAAATGCTTGTTCCTACATTAAAACATTTTTATTTAAATTTTTATTTCTGAGGCGGGTCTTGCTCTATATACCCAGGCTAGAGGGCATTGGCACACTGTCACAGCATGCTGCAGCGTCAACTTCCTGGGCTTAAGCAATCCTCCTATCTCAGCCTCTGAGTGGCTGAGGCCACAGAAGTGTGCCACTATGCCCAGCTAATTTTTAAATTTTCTGTAGAGATGGTGTCTCACTGTGAAGCCTAGGCTGGTCTCGAACTCCTGGGTTCAACTGATCCTTCTGCCTGGGCCACCCAAAGTGCTGGGATTACAGGCCTTGTTAGCCACTGTGCCTAGTTCTGTCCCTGCATTTTTGTTTGAGAATTCTGCCCTCTGACTTGGGAGAACTTATACAGTTGGAGAAGAACTGGAAACAAATGTCTTACAAAGACAAAAATTTATTGTTTCGTTATTTTCCATTCTTTTCCTGTAGCAACAATATTTAAATTTAGCTTTGGTGGAAGCAACTCTAGGTCTCACCCAGATCAAGGAGACAACCTGAGGGCTTCTGCTTGAGCACAGCTGTGTGTGGGAGGAAGTTATGTCTAATGGTGCGGAGCCCAATCATGGAACTACTGCCGAGGCAGAGGCAGATGGACCCTGACTCTAGCCCTGGACTTTTTTTTAGTTATATGAACTAACAGCTCTTTTATACTTAAGCCTGTTTGGACTGGGTTTTCTGTCACCTGCAACAGAGATGGTTCTAACTGACTAAGGTTTTTAAAGAAATACTCAGTTGTTTCTTGTATATGCGTACAGACACATGTACACATGAATGCACACAAATGTATTTTTCTAACAAGTTATAGATAAATACAACCATCTCTTGTGTCCTTACCTTTCAGGGGGAGTCTAGGGTCAATAAATTCTACCTCCAGCTGCTGACATTTTTTTTTTGTCCAAATGGGGACCTAGTATCAGTAGATGTGCCAAGAAAAACAGGGCAAGGAGGAGAGGCAGGAGTTGTTTGACCCTTTCCCCGGTGAATATAAATGGTCCCAAAGTCTCTGGAGAAGGAAAAGGCTTTTAGTCAGCTTGCAGGCAGGGTGCTGCATCGATTCCCAATGAAGCACACTGCTGACAGGCCAACCAAAATCTTTAAGGCATACAAGCATGGCAAGAGAGTGTGGACACATGCTTTGCAGAAAAAACAAAAAACAAAAAACAAACAAAAAAAAAGATCCTCTAGAGACTTTTCTAAGAAGGAAATATAAATTTATTTTCTCATTATAAATTAAAAACATTTTTTTTGGGTAGAGGCGGGGTTTTGCCATGGCCCAGGCTGGTCTGGAACTCCTGAGCTTAGGCATACTGCCCGGCTCGGCCTCCCAAAGTAATGGGATTATAAATTGTTAACTTGAGGCCGGGCGCAGCGGTGGGCCTCTGTAATCCCAGCTACTCAGGAGGCTGAGGCAGGAGAATCATTTGAACCCAGTGGCAGTGGTTGCAGTGAGCTGAGATCATGCCACTGCACTCCAGTCTGGGTGACAAGAGAGAGACTCTGTTTCAAATTAAAATAATTAATTAAACTTTTTTACATACTAATTTTAAAGGCAATTAAATAAACTCCTTAGAAATTTAATCCCTGTCACATCATGAGTGTCACAAAGCAGGCAACAAAATAGATTTTTCTGACTTCAGTAAGCCTAACAGCTATAGGAAACAGTAAATTCAGTAAGATGTTTGCAAATTTCAATTTTGTACAATCAAGCTCACAAAAATCGTATTTACAACAGGCAGCCTCAACATCACAATGGTGTACATATATATTCTAAAAGGTCATCAAGTTGTTATGAAACGTGAAGAATATTTCCCCCCAGAAAAGTGTTAAAAATGATAGTTTTACTTTGTAGTCTAGCCCACAATTTACCTAAGCAAAACAGTAGCAGTATTACTTTTTTTAATAATTAAAAAAATTTTTAAGTTTTTGAGGATTCATACTAGCTGTATTAATTTTTAAATTTTTTTGAGACAGGGTCTGGCTCTATCGTCCAGGCTGGAGTACAATGGTGTGATCTTGGCTCACTGCTAACTCCGCCTTCCAGGCTCAAACCATCCTCCTGCCTTAGTCCCCAAATAACTGGGACTACAGGCATGCACCACCACACCTGGCTAATTTTTGTATTTTTAATAGAGATGGGGTTTCACCATGTTGACCAGGCTGGTCTTGAACTCCCAACCTCCGATGATCCACCTGCCTCGGCCTCCCAAAGTGCTGAGATTTACAGGCGTGAGCCACTATGCCTGGCACCCAGTGAATTTTTTTGTCTTTTTGGTAGAGATGGTATTTTGCCATGTTGCCCAGGCTAATCTTGAACTCCTGGGCTCAAGCAATCCTCCTGTCTTGGCCTCCCAAAGTGCTGGGATTACAGTTGTGGGCCACCCTGCCTGGTCTGTATTATCTTTAAACTTTAATGTATAGAAATAGTAATGTTTTTCTTAAAATTCAAGTTGTATAAAGTTGAGTTCCTATTAATCTTCCCAATTGTTTTGCATTCATGACTATCTTTTAAAATTAAAAAAATTTTTTTTGTAGAGACAGGGTCTCCAGCTACTTTGCCCAGGCTGGTCTTGAACTCCTCGCCTCAAGTGATCTTCCTGTCTAGGCCTCCCAAAGTGCTGGGATGACAGGCCTTGTGAGCCACTGTGCTCAATCTTGACTACGTTTTCTTTTTTTTTTTTTGAGACGGAGTCTCACTTTATCACCCAGGCTGGAGTGCAATGGCTCGACCTCGGCTCACTGCAATCTCCGTTCACTGCAATCTCTGCCTCCTGAGTTCAAGTGATTCTCCTGCCTCAGCCTCCTGAGTAGCTGGGACTACAGGCGCGTGCCACCACACCTGGCTAATCCTTTTTTTTTTTTTTCAGTAGAGATGGAGTTTCAGTCTCCCAAAGTGCTGGGATTACAGGTGTGAGCCACCCCGCCTGGCTGACTAGCTTTTCTAAAACATTAATCCACTTAAGGTTACTAAAGGATAGACACTTTGAATTTGTGGGTGTGACCTCTAGCCCCCATCAGAACATTCTGATAAGAAATGTTTTGGCTGCTGATTAAAAGCA